GAGCCTGATGTGTCTACAGAAGTCACCCTGGGCCTACAGGCAGCTGTTGAGCCTGAGAGCTCCATAGCCTGTTTCTGGTCACTCCGGGGAGTAGAACCCTGAGGGGACCACGTGGGCCCCAGTTATCCCCAGTCTTGGTGCCCAGCACGCTTGTCTGTGTAGGCATGTGCACACGTACCCAAGCTTGCGCCCCTGGAGGACTGGCTCCCTGAGCTGTGGCTGCAGCTGCTGAGCCCTGCTGTGTGAGCCGCTGCCTTGTGCTCAGTGGCTCCCCCTCAGCTCTTAGGTGGCTGGAAGATCTTGGAGCGCATCCCCGCAGGGAGCCCTGTTCCAGTTCTCATTCAGACAGTTGTGAGTCTTACAGCATGCGTGTCTTGTGGCATGCAGAGGAAGCCTTCCCAAAGGGGCTCCTGCCTCATCACCTCATGGTAGAATGTTTCCATCCCAGAGGCTCCAGAAATACCAAATCTCCTTCAGCTTCAAGGAGCGTCACTGAGGGCAGAGGACCACAGCATTCCTCTACTCGTTCTTTTCTTTTTACAATAGGTGTGCCCTTCCAAGAGAGCAAGTGTGCGCTTTTGTGCACACCCTCAGCGAGGTTTCATTGCACCATGACCCCTTTCCCCAGCCGACCATCTCAGGATCCTGGGCAGCTGGCCAGGTTGTCAGGCCAATCTGGGATTCAAACTACAGTTGCCATGTGACTTCCAGCACTGCAGGTGCTGTGTTACCATCGGCCTGGCAGCTGGGCCTGTCTTCTACTTTTTGTTTTTTTTTTTTTTTAATTTTGCCAGAGAGAGACAGAAAGAGGGAGAATATAAGAAAGTAAGCTGCCAGGTCCAGGACTCGAACCACAGTCAGCCATGTGGGAGTCTAGCACCTTAACTATCATACCACCTGCAAGCCCCCACCCCACACTTGTTTTTTGTTTTTTTCAAAATGTCAGAGGGTGTATGCACTTGCCAGAAAGAAACGGAAAGGGAGAGAGCACTCCTCAATAGAGTGTGGTCATGCCATCATGCCTTCTCCTTTTTTCCATACTGTTGAGGTTTTGGGTGGACATGTTCTTGCTGTGTTTTTCAGAGCTAAGACTGTCAGCTAGGTGGGATTTGGCTTCTTTAACCTCCAGGCCTCTGGGCTGGCTCATCTACTCTTGACTCAGATGTGGGGAGGGCTGGCACTTCCTTCTTCCTGAATTTCCTGATTCCCAGCCAGTTGCTGATGGAGACTTGTCATCTGCCTCTCCAGTGCTGGGGACCGAGGCTTGTTAGGCATATCCTCCCACCCATTGGCGAGTACCTCACCAGTCCACATGCCTTCCTGGGCCAGGTCTGTACTGGGTGCAGCTGAGGGGAGGAGATGGAGAAGGGGACAGACCCTGAGCTTTCCCTGGGCCCCTTAGTAGTGGTCGCCTGGGTGGTGGTGCCAGCAGGTAGGCAACTGTATGACAGGAGGTGGACTGAACTGGGAAGACAGATGCAGGCTGGACTGAGTTGAGCACTGGCCACTGTGGGCCAGTCTCTGAGCCTTGCTGTGCCCATGGCACAAATCGGGACAGTGGGCACAACTGCCTCCCTGACCCCGAAGGCTCCTGTGACCCTGGGTGGGGCTCACGGTAGGCTCTGTATACTCACGGTGTTACACAGAGGCAGCCTCCTGCAGGCCCTCTGAGAAGAGGTGGGGACTGTGCCCAGGACCTGCCCCAGGCCAGGCTGCAGCCAGGGCGCCTGTGTGGCTATATTGCGGGAGACCTGGGAGGGCAGCGTGGGCCTGAGAGGGGTCGGGACCATCCTCTGCAGGGCTTTCAGGGGGGGTGTCTGGGAGGGCTTGCCACACTCTCATCTTAGCTGCTGGCCAGCGGCGTCCTCTCTTCCCCGTTACTGGCTTTGGCAGGCCTGGGTGTGCCACCTTCCACCTTGGCAGCCACCTGCCCAGGCCTGGCGGGCACGCTTCAGCCCTGTTGGTGTCCCAGGAGCACAGTAGTGAATGCCTCTGCCTATTCAGCACGTCTGTGGGTAATCCTGTTTTTTGTGTCAACTCTGCTTTGTAGTTTCCTCCAGGATAACAGGCAGCCGTGTTTATATCATGCTATTCATCTTACTGAGGTTAAAAGGAATTCGTTTTGGGGGACCAGCAGGTGGCGTGGTTAAGGTGCTGGACACTCCTACATGACCATTCATGGTTCGAGGCCTAGACCTGATGACTTGCTTTCTCACTTTCTCTGTCTCTCTGTCTCTTGCTGGTCAAATTAAAAATAAATGAATGAATGAATAAATAAAGTTAATTCTTTTTTTAAAAAAAGGAATTTGTTTTTAGAAATGAGATGTGGTTGGCCACATTGAAATACTTGGTGTCTGCCTCAGACTCAAGCATAAGACACCTGGGGCCTAGAGGGGAGGATGCCTGAATGTTCCAGTCCTGCAGCCAGAGCTGTGAGCCAGGCCTATGGAGAGCCCCTGGGCCAAGGGCCAGGGTCAGAGGCCCTTCTCTTTCCAGGGGGTCAGCGCAGTCATGTAGGGCCAGAAAGGCCTCAGGCTGCTGCTGTTGCCCTGTTAGCACTATGCTGGGTGAGGGGTCCTGGTCCTTTTCTTGGAAAGGAAGTCTGAGGGTCAGCCCCTTTCTGGCCTCTGTTCTCATGGAAAGAGGGACCCGGCCAGATAGGAGCCCACCATGTCTTGGTTCAGCAAAAAAAAAATGGTTACAGCAGCTGCCTGTCCTATGCAGGAGAGCCAGTAGGTGTGGGCCTACCCAAGCTCACTGTGTGTGAGAGGCCAGCAAAGGTGCAAAATGTTGCGGGCATCTCTGGACTTGGGAGGCAGATTTAAGGCGTGGTTCTTTCTCCTCCTTTTCGCAGTACGACAATCTCCTGAGCCAGTTTGGCTGCATGCAGGTGTCTGCGTCCTCCTCCTCCCACTCCTTGTCTGCCTTGGATACGGGCCTACCCCAGAGGTCGGGCAGCAACATAGAGCAGTACATCCATGGCCTGGACACCAATTCTTTTGAACTGGACTTGCAGTTTTCTGAAGACGAGAAGAAGTTACTATTGGAGAAGCAGGCCAGTGAAAACCCATGGTAAGAATTCACAGGGATGAGCGTGCTCTCATCGAAGGTGCAATGGGACGCCAGGCAGGGCTGCCAGGCACACACCTGTGAGGTGCCTTAGGTAGCCCAGGGGTTGCCTCTGGAGCTGGTGCTGTGCACATTCCTCAAAGCAGGACTCCCGGCACAGTTGGAAATGGACGTGTAGGAGGCCATGGCCCAGGGACAAGTAGGCTTGGGACCATTGGGTACCCTGGCTGTGGAGGGCAAGGGCGGGATGGTCTCTGCTCTGCCAGGCTTTGGCCATTACTAGTGCAGATGTGACTTCACTGTGACTTCAGTCACCACTGCCTGAGGAGGCACTTGGGGGCGTTCATTCTTGCTGCAGTAATGCATCTTTTTTTTTTTTTTTAAATGTAACCTTTTTTTTTTTTTAATATTTATTTAATTTAACTTTATTTATTATTTATTCATTTGTTTATTTCGATTTGACCAGAGAGGGACAGAGTGAGAGAGAGAGAGGGAGAGAGAGTGAGAAAGCAAGCCACCAGGTCCAGGACTTGAACCACAGTCGGCCATATGGGAATCCACGGCCTTTAACCACCATGCCACAGGCCGGCCCCAGTGATGCATCTTTAGCACATAGCTTTTACACTGAGACCACACTTTCTCCTGAGGCTAGTCCTACGAAGGCCTGTGTTCCAGGGCATAGGTGTTCTGAGATAGCCGGAGATCTGAACCAGCAGCAGAGAAGCTGTCTCCTCCCCTGCAGCCACGCCTGCCCCTCCAGTGTTCCGATGGTGCTAAAACAATTGTAGCCCTGCTGGGTTTTTGTTTGTTTTTATTGACACACACATCTTTCACGTTCATTGCTGTTTGTGTTTACGTTTGAGGCACGTATGTCCCTTGACGTTTTTTTTCTCTATACTTTGCAGTTTAAATTGATTTTTTTTCTTTTTTTGCCAGAGAGTGTGTGTGCTTGATGTGGAGAGAGAAGGGCAGGGTGAAGAGTGAGAGAGTGGGAAGCACCCTGCGTGGCATGCCGCAATCCCTTCTCTATCTCCTCCTCCTTCCGAGACTTTGGACATGCACGCACACGCACCTGGCTTGTTTTCAAGCCTCCAGGTCCCGTTCTCAAACAGTGCAGTTGGCCACGTGGCATACAGCTGCCTTTGCCACCTCACCATATATAGAGAGCCATATATAGGGAGTCTTTAAAACGTGGGTGGAAAATGCATCATCTCGAAATCCTGCGTGGATTTCTAAATTTTTTACATGAAAATTAATTTGTACTCTAATTTCATTCTTTCACAACTTTTTGAAGTCCTCTTGTATGTGAAGAATATTTTCTGTTGTATTTTTTGCAGATTTTCTCTTCTGTTTATCTCTTCAGTCCATTGTGTTTTTGTATGGAAGTTGCAAATTCTACCAACCTGTTTCTATTTTCATTTTCTGGTTTTTATCTTTAATCTTCTGAGAAAGGCTTTTCTACTTGATATTTTTACTTATATTGTTTTTGAGCATTTTTATGCTTTTACCTTTTACCTGGATAGAGAGGAGCCCAAGGTGGTAGAGGGGTTGTCTCCCAGGAAGGCGTGTTGGTGTGGGATTAAAGGCAGCACCAGGGAGGACTCAAGGACTGGGGTGGCTGGGGCGTGGACACATGTGGTTTAGTAGGCACATAGGGAGCACGGGGGTGCAGTGGGGACTTAAGCTCTCGGCTTCTGTTAGGGTGGTCTCTGCACTACCTTACCATGGCCTTGGTTGCAGGCTATGAAAGAATTCGCAAACTCAGAAAGTGGGTAGAAAAAAATGTATTAACTTTCCAACAGTGGAAAGGGGCCAGATGCAGAGAGTTTGAGTGGCTTTGAGGGGTGGGGGAAAGGAACTTTTATTGGGACTTAAGGAAAGGGGTACTATGGTTAGGTAATTGGGGTTCTGGGACCAAAGATCTACTAGTCCTTGGTTGACTCATTGTTCCCTCTGAGTGGTGAGGATGTTGCAGTCTTCACGTCTGAGGTGAGAACTTGGGAAACACAAGCTCGGCCATCTGCAGTGACGTCAAGGCAGGACCAGCTGACTCAGCAAGAAATATGGATGGGGAGAAAGGGTCTGGAGACCTGGGAGTTTTAGATAGGACTTTTCAGTGACTGTACCTAAGGTACAAGCCCGACACTGAGTTAACCCTTTTATATCCCTGAGGTGCTTGGGGAACATTTAACCCTTCAGCTGCTTTCCTAGGGTGGGATGCAGAAGGGAAAGCAGCCTGTGAATAAGACAAGGATTTTGTACCACTAGGAGTGGTCGATAGTTCTATGGAGCTCAGGCTTGGCCGCTGGCTTGCTGTTTGCTGCAGTGTGTTACGAGGGCTGTTATCATGGGCTGGGTAGGAGAGAATCTGATGGAGCCGCTCGAGCAGTGCTGGGCACAGCTCCTGGCGGGTAGGCACACTGGCCTGTGCCGGAGCTTCCTGGGTGGGCTCACCAACGAGGCCTGTAGAACCTCTCTGCCCAGGCTCTTTCCAGGAGCTCCAGTCTCGTGCTGGGCAGGGCAGTGAGCACCTCACAGACCCTGCCTGTTTCCTTGGTGCCATATTTTAGGCCCGTTTTGGATGCTGAGGGCTGCAGCGAGCTTGAGGATCTCCTGACTGGCCAGTGGTTCGTTGCACATGATTCCCAATGTTGGCCATGGATCCCTGAGGTCAGGACAGTTCTTTTATGTTTAATGCCAAGACGACGTCTGCCACCTTCGCGGCTAGTGTCTGTGAACGCACAAAGCGTTTCAACAGGTGTGTGCAGTATGCATGTCGTCGCTCTGACTACTAAGGGAACATGGGTGTTCTTTTCTAACAGTTTCTGAAGTAGGTTTATGGAATAAAAATATGCATTTTGGGGGGCGGGAGGTAGCATCGTGGTTAAAGGTGCTGAATTCCCACACGGCCAACTGCTGTTCTGCCAGGGACCAGCCTCACCGTGGGTGGGTTATCTCGACGAAGGCGGCGAAGGTGAACAGAAGACAGAGGCCTCGATGCCTTTTCATGCACGTCCTATGCCGGACACCCCTCAGAGGTCGCCCTCTGAGGAGTGACAACTGCTAGGAATCATGGTGCGTTTTTATTGAAAACGTGTTATATGCAAGTAAAGGGAGAGGGACTAGTGTTTCAATTATCAGCTCATGAAGTTTTAAGAATAGGGAACATAGATTCTATTCAGGGTTGGATTAAGGGTGGGTCTCCATGGAATGCAGTTTCGGGAAAGCGGTTCCGGTAAGCAGAGATGATTATCAGCTGATGCGGCGTAGCAGCCATCTTGTGATTACTGGGAATGGTACTGAGAAAAGAAAATCTCAAGAATAGATATTAGTTCTTATGGATCTTAATAAAGAATGATACTTACACAGTTTTTGTAGGGATCTAAAACTTAATTTGAGGAATCCTAATATATTTATCTATTTCACTTAGAGAGGGCAGAGGTGTCCTGGGCCAATTTTGGCCTAATCCTATTTTAGGTAAAGAAAGGATTAAGTTTACCTTAAATGTATTTTAAAGGGCCTTCCAAAGGTCAAGATTACTTCTGCCTAAAAAAAACTTCAGCCCACCCTCTATTGTGACCATGGAGATAAAGCATTGTAATTAATAGTAAGTGATCAGAGCAAAGGGGAGCGGT